CATGAACTTTGTTCTAGAATTTATATGACTTTTACGTTGACTTTATAACTATGTAGTTGAACAAGTTATAGTTGATTCTCTAGGTTTATTCTTATCTGATCATGAAGTGTGTGTGGTGAAGCTTTCTAAAAGCAATTTTTATATAACTTGTACTAGGAAAGGTGGAATTGTATATGTGTTGGATATATTCATGCTTAGTCTCTCTTTAAAGTACATCCAGGTTTTCTAGGATGCCTGTAAGGAGTGGGTTTTAAAAGTGAAGCACTGGGCCTGTAGCTTGGCAGTGCAATGCATGCACAAAATCATGAGTTCAGTTCCCAGAACTGCATAAAATTGAGCATGGGACCACACTCCTTTAATCCCAGCACTGGTGCTGGAGGCGGAAGGAGATGCTCAGATCATCCTAGTTTGAGAACAGGCTCAGGTACATGAGACCCTTTCAGCCCTCATCAGGGAAGCTTCTTTTTGCAGTAGATGGCAGTTAACAAAGAGACCTAACCCTTGAGCAGTGTGCAAAGAATGACAGACTGTTGGGGGTTTAGCTCCAAATAGGACATCTATATCTCACTCCCTCCACCAAGGCTGAGAGATCATCATGGAAGAGGATGCGAGAAAGATTGTAAGAGCCATGGGTAGTGGATACCTGCAGTGAGACACAGCAATACTATTGCACACATGTACTCACAGTGGCTTGGATTGCGTGCATGAGACCTATGCAGGTCTCAGCTCGGATGGGAAAAAAGCTCATGAAGTTTCACCCCTAACTGAAGAGCCATTGATTGGCAGGCAGTGGCAAGTGAGGAGGAAGAATCCAGTTTCTTTAGGGAGCACATGAAGTTGGGAGAGAAAAGTGGTAGGACCAGGGTATAGAGGGGAGGGAATAATGGGTGAGATTGGTAAATTATGCATGTATATGAGATGTTTAAACAATAATAAATGGGTTATTAACCATAGTGGTTTTGAGTTATTCACAAATGACATATTAAATAAATCATAAGGTGAGCTCATTGCCAACTTTGAGCTGGGATATTTAAATATTCATTATATTATAATGAACTATAGTTTTGAGCATATCTTCTATTTCTCATTTGTCTTTTGATAGTGAAAGCATTATCATTTGTTTTGTGCATGTTCAATGCATGTGTAAGCAAGCACATACCCTCAAGTATTCCCATGTGAAGGGCAAGAATAAAAGTTTGGTGTCTTCCTTAGTTGCTATCTATTGTTCTTTTTTAAAAGACAGGCTCCCTGAAGCTGGAGCTCACTGATTGTCTAGACTAGATGGCCAGTGAACTTTCAGAATTTTGTGCACTAACCACTAAAATGGGATTTTAGGCAGTCACACTAGAGCTTTTCTTTTGAGTGGGTGCCTAGCAAGCACTGTACCCATTGAGCCATTTCCCCAGCTCCAAGTTGCTGTACTTTCTGAGGAAGTAGTTTTATTTTAGCTCATAGTTTCTTACAGGGAAATCATGGCAGAGTTCATGACAGTAGGAGCAATTCCTGCCCCCCCCCCCCCCGGTAGTTGGAACATGCAGGGGCTTGCTTACATCTCGGTGGTGGCCAGGAAGCAGAGTATATTGTCCTTTTAAATGAAGCAGTAGTTAAAATTGTGACTGTCAGAAGCCCTTAGAGTCAACTTTTAATATGTTTTAATGTGTACGGGTTGAGTGTGCAGAAGAAATTTGAATATACATGCCAGGCATTTGGTAACTATCTTTTTAAAAAATTAATATGAAGAGCAGTTCTTTCAGCACTATAATATGTTTAAACGTTTGTTAAATTCAGTATTTTGAACACTATAAAGGCAGAATACAATGAAAAATTAATTTCCCTTTTTTTCTCTTTATTTAAAATAGTGCCCTTAATAAGCTTTCAGGAATATAGTAGAAAGTGAAATTTTCTCGTAATTAAATATTAACTATGGTTTTGCCCATTTTTAATCATTACACATTTACTGTAATGTATATTTAGTAGGTTCTGAAAATGTTTGTTGGGTAAGGACTTGAATTAAAACTTGTGGTTTACAAAGAACACAGGGAATGTGTTAAATTCATGTCTCTTTTGTTACAGTCTTACTTACATTTTATTTGTATATGTTGTACTCTCCTCTGTTTTATTACCTGTTTGTTGGCCTTACTATTTCATGTAGGCATTTAGCACTATATATTTTTTCTTCCGGGTCTGGAGAGATGACTTGGCAATTAAGAGAAGTTGCTACTCTTCAGAGAATCCAAGTTTGGTTCTCAGATCTTAGGTAAAGTAGCTGGCAACTGCCTATAAACCTAAGCTCAGTTGATTTTACACCTTCTTTTGGCTTTCATGGGCACCTACACAGAGGTGGCTTCTGTGTGTGTGCGCATGTTCTTGAAAACGTATTCTTCAAAAAAGAAAAACCCTTTTGGCAAATAGGGTATAAGAATGCAAATGTAACACTTATTGTTTCTTTTCAGTTATATAGCTAAGTGCACTGTGTTCACAATAACATTCGGTGTGAACACACTTCGAGGGTATGTAAACTACTGTTAATGAAAATGTTAAAGTAGTAAGTTGTTTGCAATTAAAGTCAATTAAACACACAGACACATGTTTGAATCCTTTAAACATCAGATAAACAGATAATGTTGAATGTGAAGAATACAGAGACCTTTTAAAAAAGCTATACAGAAATAGGCTTTTCTGTAGTTATAATCATCTTTGCATCTTTTAGCCAGTAGTTAATTGTAGAGCAGATCAAGTTTTAGAGTCCAGAATGACATGGTAAGGACACTAAGAAGTTTTATTAGAGGACAGAAGTGTCTCACATAACCACCCTTAGTTCTCAGCTGTAATGGGCAAACACTGAACTCACAGTCACCATGACAAGAGTTCCACTTTGAATGTGTTTTCTCAGTAAGTGCAGACTAGAATCCAAGGGTTATAATCTTTCCTAGTTAATGGGAACTAGGAAAGCTATGCTGTAACCTCCACCCCTTAGATCCAGCAGCACTGTGGATAGGACATCCTTAATAACGATGTCATTGACAACCCCTCTACTGTTTGTTACCTTTTCCTCCTAGCTGCTCCTCCCAACCCCCATCCACTTATTGCTGTTGTTGGGCTTTCTTCCAAATCAAGTACAAATATTCAAGGTTTTAAGTTTCACCTACCATGTAGAATCTAAATTAAGTCTTGCAGGAATGAAATAGTTTTCAGTACACACAAGTCCTTTGAAATAATTTGATTATAGAATTTTTATACAAATGACTCACATTTACAAACACATGTAACTCATTCAAGTATAATTGAATAATGTATATGTTATATTGAATAGTGAAACAAGTCCATGGGGCCTTCTAAAGTTGATGCAAAACTCAGATCAAAGGAGCTTTACAACTATGTAATACGTCACTGAGTCATTTAGTATCAAGTCTGATGGGTAAATTCAAGAATGGTGTTGTGAGTGTATGAAGGGATCACTAATCAGAGTATTATTGTGAAGACCTATTCTTTTTCAGTCTTAATACATCACTGCATCTGATAGATGTTGCTACAAAAGGAATTTTTGAGAATTTAGAAAGATTTTGTTTGATTTTTTAGGAGACAGAGATGGCTAATGATGTGTAACAAATTAAGAGCCTAATCCCTTATTGACTAAAGAAAATGTTAGTATATTAAGGGTACAACACCCTCTTACCATTAGTTAAGCTTCCATTTACTTTGAATTAAAGTTGGTATTCATTCTATAAATCACTGGTACCATGATGATTTTAACGGAACTGTGTGTATAGGTGTGCTGTACCTTTACTTGTGTTTATGGACATAGTAAATAGGTTTTCAACTCAGTATTTCTAGACTGGAACGAAAGTAGTCAGCAAATAGAATTGGTTGACTGTTCTTCAATTTTGAATAAATGTGTTGATTGTTAAATATAACCTATTGTCATTCCTTTTCTGTTAAAGGGGGGAAAAAGACTTCATCTTGCTTAGGAAATGAATTTAAATGTAATTAGCCCCACAGTTGTTTCTACATGAATACCTATATGTTACTACATGAATACCTATATGTATATATGGTGCAAGAGAACTCAATTCCTTTGTTTAAAGATGTTGAAGAAAAGCACTCAGATAATTTTTAATTTTTTACCCTGTTGTGCTAATGACCATTATTTGGTCAAATAATTCTCCAGCCTTATCAGCCTTCACAATGACGTTTGAAATTCTGTCTTAAATGTGATAATGACTGATTTAAAAGTAATGGTTAGATAACAACCTCCTGTGTATGTGTTTGTATGTGTGTATAACACAAAGGACAACCTTGGATGTCATTCTCAGGTACCATCCACCTTATAGTTTTATTGTTTTTGGAGTCAATGTCTATCCCTACTCTTGAACTGACCAATCGGTTGGCTTATTAGCCATGATCAGTAAGCTGTCTTTCCCTCTTCAACCCTTGGATCACAAGCTTGTAGCTTCTGTCAATGAAACCCCAAGTCTTTGTGTTTGTAAAGCAGACATTTTATCAAGTAAAGCATGTCCCTGCTAGCCACTTGCTTATACTCTTTATTCAGAACAATAACACAAGCTCAAAACTTTGGGAAGGCTTGTAGCATGCTTTGTTTCAGAGAGAGAGAGAGAGAGAGATTTTATAGATACAATGTACCTAGACTAAACACAAAACACAGGTGGTTATGTTCTTCTTTACAAGGTTGTATAATGTGAAACTAATGCTGAACTTCAAGCCATACATATTCCCTACTAAGATGCATCTGCGTTATGTATTAGTAGTTCATATGTGTATATCTGTGTGTGTGTATACAATCAGTGATGTTCAACTTTACAAATCTGTTTAAAAGGGTAAATTTTAATTGTCAGACCATTGATTGTAAAGAAATGTGTAAAACTTCATTAAGTTTTAGTGATTTTTTTTTTGTATTCTTATTTTATGAACTAGCTTTATTTTCCTAAAATTAGCTCACAAGTAAAAATAGTTAACTCAGTTCATCTTTTCTTTATATACAGTGGGAGATTTTGATAAGATCTGGAGAGAACACTGTGAAGATGCTGAAACACTTTGTGAATATGCTGTTGCAATGAAAAATTTGGCAGATAATCACTGGGCAAAAACTTGTGAGGGTGAAGGTCGAATTGAATGGTGTTGTAGGTGAGTGTTTTATAAACGGGTAAATAGTTGGGAGTGTTGGTAGAGGATGCTGTGATCAGGCTGGAAAACATTAATTGATAGACAAAAACATGATGGGCCAAAGTGATGATATGTATGTATGTATGTATGTATGTACATATATGAATTTAAGTACTTTAAACATTAATATATTTTACATTCAAGAATTCTTAATTTACCCATAATTAAAAAAAAAATAAACTCCTTTGGATTCAAGTAAAAAGTGAGTATATTAAACTTAAAAGCATGGTAACAGTTTTAAAATCTTAAATTTTTGGTGTGCGATTTTGGGTTGTGTCAGCATGTACATTGACTTTGGGTATTTATTTTCTAATAGTACAATTTCTAATGTTGAAAGTCAGAAAATGAAATGCTATTGCTACTAATGCTATCAAATGTAGTAAAATTAGAAGGAGCTATTTATATGTTGGTTGAATTTTAAAACTAATTCCCAGAAGTAAAGTTCTGTTTTGTGTAAACCATAAGTATATGGTAGCTTCCAATTTATACTTCCTTTTTCATTAAAATTTTCCCTTTTTAAATTATGTTTTCTTAAAGGGGTATGTGTATGTGTGTGTGTGTGTGTGTTTGCCATCCGTGGGCAGTCTGAAGAAGACAGAGAGGGTGTTGGATTTCTTGAAGATAAAGTCATAAGTGTTTGTGAGTACCTTGACATACCTGGGTACTGGTCCTCTGAAGAACAGCCAGCTAGTGGACTTAACAGCAACCATCAGCCCCCACCCCTTTAAAATGTTTGTTTTTTGTTGAAGGTCTATTGTTTCATAAAATATATTCTGATTATAGTTTCCTCATCCCAACTACTCTCATATTCTGTCCCCCCCCAAATCCAGCCCATTTAATTCAAATTTTGCCTTAGTAATATTTTTGAAATCATATTGTTCTTTTAAAACATTTATTATTATTATTAGAATATAAATCATTCTAATGGACAAACATTTGAAACAATTTAACCATAACAAGTATATGAATTCTTCCCTGTTTTAAGGTTAACAATTTTTTTTTTTTGTATTGTATTGTTTTATTTCTTTTTCCTCTTGTTAAATTTTTTTTGCTAATTCTTTTTATTGAGCTACTCTCTCCCCTTTCCCCTACTCTCTCTCCTTCCTTTCCCCCCTGCCTCCCACACTCCCATTTAACTTAACAAGAGTTCAGGCAGGAGGCTTACAGCAGGTAAGTTGAGGCTGACTAATAAGATCTGAGGGCAAATGAGTCAGTTCATAGACACATTTCACTCATGATTCCTTATTCTTCAAAAAAATGTTCTTCCCAAAAGTTCTCTCTCAAAAGTTCTCTTAAAGATTTCTCCTCAAAAGTTCTTTCTTTGAAAGTTCTCACTTAAAGTTCTCTTTAGAAGTTCTTAAAATTCTCCTTAGAGTTCTTTCTAAAAATTCTCATAGATCCCAGAGGTTTCCAGTTTTTATATCCAATACAGATAAACTTAACAACTCTCTGACAACAGCAAGAATACCAGGCATGCATATCTCTCATAACCAGGAAGGCAGATAAAATCTTGAGGAAAGCGGGTGGGTACCTAATGTTTCAGAGGGGGACGTGACTTGTAAAATGTCCAGGCAAGCTAATTCTTAGAGGAGACATGACTTGTAAAAAGTGCTGAACTGAGTAAAGGAGACTTCTCAGCGCTGTATCAGAGGGGAAAGCTAAGGCTATGTATGTAGTGTGAGCTCTAGAGGCTGCAGCTCTTACCACTGACACCCCTTTGAGAAGGAATTTACTTTCTCTGGGCCAGTTTTGAGAATACAAAGCACCCAGTATATTTTCTCCATCAGAAGTTAATGCTGGTGGGTTGATATGTGGAATATTAATTGCTGCTTCTATAATAAATAATAAAAGCTTCCAGCATCACACTCTTTTTAGTTTACTTTTTAAAAAGGGTGTAGATCTCTCTCCTTGGGCAGTGTAAACTGTGGATAAATACAAGTCTGAAGATGACTTAAAGTAGAATAATTGGTTAATACATTGCTGGGTTTTTGTTTTTGTTTGGGGGGGGAAAGGAATCCTACTGTGGAAAAGGGGTGCTATGGCTCGACAAGGGTTCCACAGAGATGAGAGTGAATAATCAAAAGATTACTATCCTGATATTCCCAAGGCTTTGCAAATGTGGTTTCCTCCAAAGGAATGCATGATGATCCCCATGGGTCAGCCTAGTGATTTTATCAGCTGAGATCTCATTGCATAATCCCAGTGGCTTGTTGCATTTACTCAGGAGATCTTGTCTTTTTCCCCTTTTAGGTGGATCCATGCATAGCTCTCTTAGGGTCCTGTTTGTTATCTAGGTTCCCTATGGTTGTGGCCTGTAGTCTGCTTGTCCTTTGTAAAACTTTTTTCATATAGTTTGGTCAAGTTTTTCTCTTTCCCAGCTCCTCCCAGATCTTCTCTACCTCCATATCCTCTCAATATTATAGTCGCTTGGCCAGTCTGTCTGTCTGTCTCTCCCAAACATGCAGTGAGATCAAAGCAAACAGCCAATAGCTCACAAAAGTATTCCCAAAACACAAAATGAAATGAAAAGACGCCCCCCCCACACACACACACACACATAACAGCAATACCAAAAAGTATGGAGTTCATTTTGTGGTGGTAAGCTGTTCTGGGCATAGGAACTCCCTGGTTCATATTGATATAGCCAGGCATACTGATTTTCCTTTTTCCAACAGCTATCAGCTACAAATGAGTTCTTGGTTAGGGGTGGGACCCTGTGTCAACTTCCTTCTCTCAGTACTAAAACTCTGGCTTGAACCTGTGCAGGACTTGTGTGTCCTGCCACAGTCTCTCTGAGTTCATGTGTATATCAGTCTTATTATGTCCAAAAAAATACTGTTTCCTTGAAGTTATCATTTCTAGCTCTTAAGATCTGTGTGCCACCTCATGCACAAAGATTTATGATTCTTAAGATGAGAAGTTTTCGTTAGTAATTCTGCAGAATTTCATGATGTGTATTTTCATTATATTCATCCTCTCTCCCAACTCATCCCAGATTTTCCCTACCTCTATGCCCACTCAACTTGATGATTTTTATGCCTGTCTTTCTGTCTACCTGGCCTTCTTGTCCGCTATTTAAATAAAATAAAAATTGAATCTAGTTTGTGTTGGTCGGCTATACCCTTGACATAAGATTGAGATACCAGCTGTCACACCATTGAAGAAAACTGATTTCCCTTCTCCTTACGGCAATCTAAAATCAGTAGCTCTAAAGCAAGGGGTAGGACTTCCTGCCCTCTTTCCCTCCTTCATGCTGAGATTGCTGTCTGGTTTGAGCTTGTGTAGGTCTTGTGGTGTGTGCTATAACAATCATTGTGAGCTGTTATGTGCAACTACTCTGTTTGTGTATGAACATATTGTTTCTTTGGAGTCCTTAGTCAGCTCTTGCTCTTACAGTTTTTCCAACCCCTCTTCCACATCATTTCCTAAGCTTTGAGGGGTGAGGTTTACTACATTGCATTAAGATTAAGTACTCTGAATTTTGTTATTTTTTGGAAGTTGACCGAGTACCTTTCGATTGTGACTTATGGATAAAAAGCTTCTCTGATGAAAATTGAGTTATGCACCGATAAGGAATAAACCTGTAAGTTATTAGAAGTAATTTCTATCCATTTTTAAAGAGTAATAGTGGTAAGTTTTCTCCTAGGACTCATGAGCCATTCAGCCACAGGTTCTTAGCCTCATTGACAGTGTCAGATATATATGGGTTCCATCTCCAGTAGTGGACTTCACTGCCAATCAAAAAACGACTGGTAACATCTGTAGCATCTGTGCCACTATTGTACCAGAGCAGATAAGTTGCAGAAAAATCACTATTTTAGCATGTAGGGTTCATAGCTGAGTGAGGTTGGTGATTACTTTTTGTGTCTGGTCATGTGAATGGTATCTTCAAGCTCTGTGAATACTAGCTAGTAAGGATGAAGCTTCCAGGCCAATACTAGCTAAAATTTCTCTGTTTTCTTGACTTGAGCATGTGGTGTTTTCAGCGGCAGGATCTTGGGGTAACAAATAGAATTGACAGTAGCCTGTGTTTGGCATATGGGGTGGGCTGCCTGTGGGACTCAATTTGCTAACACCTCAAAAAAAGGTAGCCTATTATGATTACTGGGGTTTTTATTTGGTAGCATATTGTTTCTGTTGGGTTATTGTGTCATGTGGTCTCCCACCACCATTGTAGGGTAACTCCTTTGGGACTATTTTTTATATTGTATATACATTTTAAAAAGCAGGTTTCCATATTGCTTTCTAAAAGGCCTTCAGTGTTAGTTCTCTCTCCCCATATTCTGTCCTTCACTTATCCAGTCCTGCCTGTTCACTTCCCACATTTCTCACTCAATAATGCTATTTTCTGTTACCCAGTCCTTGAAAGGTCCCTCTTTCCCAATGGCCCTTACCAGTTACCTCACCTCTGGGATTTCCAAATAAAACATAAATATATAAAGCTTTAAAGCTTAAATCACTTGGAGAGGAAACATGCAATGCTTATCTTTCTGGATTAACCATAATGGAAGGGTTATTTCCTTCATCATGATTGTTTCCAGGTATAGTTGCCTGTAAGTTTCACTTTTTTTCTTAACAAATGAATAGTCCTCTACTGTGTGTGTGTGTGTGTGTGTGTGTGTGTGTGTGTGTGTGTGTGTGTGTGTGTACCACATTTTTGTTATCCTTCAGTTGGTAGATATCTAGGCTGTTTTTATTTCCTGACTATTGTGAGTAGAAGGGCAGTGAGCATGGATGAGTATCTCTGTAGTAAGATGACAGTCTTTTCTTTATGTGTTGAAGAGGGGTATAGTTACATCTTGTGGTAGACCTACTTTTGTCTTCTTGAACAATCTCCACACTGTTTTCCATAGTGGCTGACTGGTTTGCACTCCCACCATCAGTGAGTAAATATTGTCTTTCTCTACAGCCTCCAGGTCATCTACTTTATTTGGACTGTTGTTTTTGTTGTTGTTTTCTTC